AATCCATTCTCTATACGGGGGGCCTCCAAACTTTTTTTGACAGTTCAATAGTATTGTTGAAATTTTAAAAATATACACCCTAATATGTCCATTTTAAATTAGCCATATATATTTAGTACTACATTCTAATATACATAAAACTTATGATAATGTCAATTTGGACATAATACAACTGTCAATTGATTCCTATGTCCCTCTCAGTCCCTCTTTTATCATTTGGGGAGATGGATATGAGGTTAGGGTGAGACAGGAAGCAGAGAGGTTGGTGTGGGTGGGTGTCAGTATCCGTGGTATTTCCTAAGCCTGATGTCCCAAATCAAGTTGACAAAGGGGCACCAACTAACGTTCTGGAAATTCCAGTCAGCCATATGTATAGAATTGTCCCCTTTGATTAAACTAGGGTGAAAATGACCACTAGGTGGCACTACAACCCAGTTCAGACCAAGATGGGCTTGGTTCTCAGCTGGGTTCCCCAACTCCTGGTTGGCTAGCCGTGCAAGTTCCATCATAATTTCAATGTGTAGCCAATGCTGACGGACTAGTTCATCATTTTCCTATGATTTTGAAATGTCATAATTTTCATAAATTAAATATATAATATATGAAAAGATATTTGGGGATAATCGGTAGTCTCTGCACACACTCCACAGCTCTTTTCTTTTATAATTTCCCATCTGTTTCAGTTAATGCTGTACATGGTTTTATTTTTTTCAAATGAGTATGGGCAAGGTGTATGGGGAAGATGGAGAATGCAGTAAGCCACCCTAAAGCCACTTTTTTTCTGCCACTGCCTGTTAGGGGGACTTCATTCTGGGATAATTGCTTAGCTTGATCTTCCAGTTATTAATCTGTGTCTATTCTGAAACCCAGATCATCCATTTAGTTTTGTATCTCAGTCATCAATTAAATTCCCAAATATATAGTTAAATTTATTTGTACATATGACAGCTCATATTTCTCTGAAGATATTTATTATACTATTCAAATGTCTCCCAATTATTCCCTAGCTCTGTTTTCTCTAATACTAGTCATAGAAATGGTGCCTCTCTTATGGTTATTTTTTTTTAATGGGTAATAATGTGCTAGTTACACATTCAATTTTGTATTTTAGAATTTTCTGGTTTGTTTATGGCATTTTTTGTTTGTTTGTTTTCTTAGGCTATTTTTTACTTTTTAAAGTATTTCCTTTGTCATCTCATAGGATTTTAGGCAGTAGGTAGGTGTGTAGGTGTGTGTGCTTTGTTGGTTATTTTGATCCAATCTCTATTAAATAGTGCTTGTGTGTGTGTGTGTGTGTGTTTGAGAAATCTTTTCTTCTTGTTATTTCTGTTTTATTTCTCAGATTATTCTTTTCTCCTGTAAATGAATTTTTTATAAAAAAAGAAAAAATAAAAACTAAATATCTTAAAGCCAGAGTTGAACTGAATACCAAATCTTAGCGTTTTTCACTTATGTTTGTTTTATTTCTCAGATTATTCTTTTCTCCTGTAAATGAATTTTTTATAAAAAAAGAAAAAATTAAAACTAAATATCTTAAAGCCAGAGTTGAACTGAATACCAAATCTTAGCGTTTTTCACTTATGTTTATTTTTCTGTAATGTCTTCATTCTGGAAAAAAGGGCCAAATGGGCTAAATATGTTCATGCTGTACTTCCTTGTGTCATTCAAAATATAGCTACTTTTCCTGAAATGGGAAGTAAAACTGGTGCACATGTGTAGTAGCTGATTTCAGGGTTAGGATCAGGATTGGATGGTAGTTGAGTGTTGTGGTTTATAAGCATTTTAGAAATCATGAGTCTCTGGGAAACTAACACTAGCCAAATTACAGAGACTTACCAATAACCCAGAATGCCTATTTCCCCCCACTTTGAAGTACTAGTATTGTGGTAAATAGCACAAATTTGGAGTTGAATTTGAGTGGAGGGAATTCTGGTTCCACTATTCACTCTCTTTGTTACCTAATATTTCTGAATCTTCACTTTTGTCCTTGTGAACGTGAAATGGAATAAAGAATGTGAACTTCTTGGTACAGTAGCTAGCACACAGAAAACATGAAATAAACAATGATGGTGATGATGATGAAGATGATGGTGGTGACCATTAGAGTTCTGGTCTTTATAGTAGACATTCCAGTAGCAGTGAGCCTGGGAAAATAAATTAATAATCCAGATGGATCCTTGGGACGTGTGGCATCAGCAAAGATTGTCTTTATATAAAAGAAATTTTTATTTAGTTGTATTTAGTTTTTATTTATTTAGTCTTTAGTTGTGTTATAGAAGGAAAAATAATTAACATTTTGTACTTCGGTTTTCTCACCTATACAGTGAAGATAATTTCATAGGGTTGTCATAGATATTCAACGAGAAAACACTATAAAGTGCTTAAAATGGTGACTAGCTAGTAGGAGCTCAATAACTCTTAGCTATTGTTTTTATTAATATTTCTTTCAGGGCCGGCCCGGTGGTGCACTGGATAGTGCACCGCTTGGGAAGTGCGGCGGCGCTCCCGCCCGAGGGTTCGGATCCCACATACAGACCGGTTCCCGCTCACTGGCTGAGCGAGGCGCGGGAGCAACACCGAGGGTTGCAATCCCATTGCCGGTCCCCGGTCCGGTACGGGGGCAACACTGAGGGTTGCGATCCGTTGCCGGACACGGAAAAAAGACAAAAGACAAAAAAAAAAAGAAAAAAAAAATTTCTTTCAACCAACAGTTGGAAAACACGATTGAACATAATTCATATGATAAACAAATACTTAAAACTGAGACTTTTCTAGTGTGCTGGCTGGGCTGGGCTCTTGGAAACAGCCTGAAAATCTTATTTCTCATTGATAGTGATACAATTGGTTGAGGAGATAATTTTCTTTATAATTATTATGCACTGGTGGCACAGTTATAGTAATAAGATTTGGGAGATACTTTTGGGAAACAGTTTAGTTTTATCAACGATACATTTACAAATCATATATTGGGGTTGGTTACTTTACAGATGGTTATTCCAGACATTTTATACTGATTATTGTTAGCTTCCTCTACAGAGGGTGACTTTTTATTTTGCCTTCTCTCCAAATCAGGTTACACCATATTTAGACTATATTTCCTCATGAGCTTATCTTGGTCAATGTTCTCACTAAATAAACAGATCCTAAGTGTATTTGATCAAGTTTTTTTCTTACCAACTTTATTGGGGAATAATTTATGCAAAATTAATTTTATATATTTGAAGTGTACAATTTAGCTATGACAGTTATATACTACATGTGAAATCATCACGACAATCAGAACAGAGTAAATTTCCATCGCCCCTAAAACATTTTTACTGTTCCTTTGCAGTCCATCCTTTCCTCTACCTCGTTTCCAGGCAATTACTGATCTACCTTTTGTCATTATAGGTTAGTTTGGACTTCATATAAATGTGATCATACAGTATATATTTTGTCTCTGGCTTCTTCAACTCAGCATAATGATTTTGAGATTTATCTGTGTTGAGGCCTATATGAGTAGTTCCCTCTCTTTCATCTCTGAGTAGTATAGATGGACCGCAATCCGTTTTTTCATTCACCTGTTGATGGATGACAGTTGGGTTCCTTCTGGTTTGGGGCTATGGTGAAAAAAAGCTGCTATGAACACTTGTGTTCAAGTCTTTGTGTGAGTATACGTCTTAATTTCTCTTGGATAATACCTGGGAATAGAATAGCTGGATCCTATGGTAGATGCATGTTTAACTTTTAAAGAAATATTTTGTGAGAAATTACATACTCAATTCTTCCTGTATATCTGGGCTCAGATAAGGACATTAACTGGATTCTCTAGGTGGGAGGCAGGGAGAAATCCTAATCCTCCCTCTCCTTGACCCACCTACTTCCATCTTTAATAGCTCATCCAACTCCTTTTGGTTACTTAGAATAATTTTAACCTCCTTCGTTTTTCTCCAGACTTACTGCTACCATCTCATAGTTGCTTGGGTGCCTGTTCTGTAACAGGTACTGTACTGGGCGATGAGGGGCACACAGGACTGCGAGTTAAAGGAGCAGCGTCCTGTTCCATGGGCTGAGCTGGGGGGAGCCAGGGCTATGCATTATGTTACAGGCAAAGTACGTGAGAACTCTTGAGGCTGCCTTCCCTCCACTTACTCACATGCGACAAGAAACAGCTCACCTTTGAGTGCAGGCTTTAGTTATTTATTTAAAACAGGTGTAGCTAGTTGAAGAGGAAGTATTCTGTGGAATCGCAAAAAGGGGGAGGGGGAGAGAACAATTTCTTCCTTCAATAATGAATACCCTTCCTTTTGACCAGCTCTCGAAGTGTGGTATCGGGACTTGTAGCATCATCTTCCCCTTGAGAACACGTTAGCAATGCAAATTGTCGTGCCTCACTGCAGACCTACTGCAAGTGAAACTCTGGGCGTGGGATGCGTTTTAACAAGCCCTCCAGGTGGAAACGATCCACGCCGAAGGCGGAGAACGGCTGCGCTAGAATCATTCCAAGGGTGTAGACGATCGTCTGTGGCTTGGGTGACTGTGGGCGACGGGGATCCCGTTGCTGCAGCACCCATCCATCTCGCTCCCTCGCCGCTCCCAGTACCTGCACCTTCTCTTTCACCCTCCGCCTTACCCAGGCTTCGGGTCCTCTCCCCTGGGAGCCGCAGCCAAAACCCGGCAAACGGACTCCGAGTCTGCGGGCCGGGTGGC